AAATAGGGGGTGAAAACTTTAATGTAACTATTTAGACAACATTCTAATTATTACCTTAAACTTATGGTATTCCTTAGACCCCTCAAAAGAATAAAATAATTCGATACTTTTATTAAAAAGTAAAAACCGACTTTAAAAACTGAATAGAATAAAAAATTGCAAAGAACTTGTGAAGGGCTCTAATGATGATGATGATGATGATGGAGTAAAAGGCATCACAATATTTTAAAATATCCGTGCTGTAGTCAGGGAATCGTTATCCCTTACAACTGCCTCCTCAAGTCATTACAAACCCTCCACCCTATTATTCTTTGCTATATTATTTTTTGCGTATTTTTCTTATGACATTTATTGAGTTTATTTTGATATTTGCTTTTTTAATTGATTGACACAGTCGATCTACATCATATTTTATATTTACCTATAATATACTGAAAATCTATATATGGAAAATCGATATTTGGCTAGCCTTTGTTATACTACTAGATATTAAAAACTTGTTGCATCGATCAGACAAAATTCATACGCGATGTTTTCGATTGTTCTGTTTCGATTCACAGACATAATGTATATGTTAACAGGAAAAACTGTAACATAATATGTAATTACATAAATCATTGAGTACAAATCGTTTTTTGTAGATCGTAAAAGTTCACTTTGAAAAGCCACAAGTGTGTTAAAAATCTTAAAGTTCGTAGATTACATGTAAGAAAAAAATATTATCAAAAATTAATACCTCAAAAACTTCGCGTTTCTGCTACATAATATTTTAGGACTTAACTGACACAAGTGCAAGATCTATCTCTCATCAAAATTTTGAACCTTCAAATCGATTGCAGGTTGTGTGCACTTGAAACCAATTGAAATTTTGCATATTTGAGTAGATTATTGAAAGAAAGGGAAATGATTACGTCAATTTCCATTTAACGGTCACAATAAACTACACATATTACATCACGCTAACTCGAGCTCCATTAATAAGGTAAATTTTATTAACATATTCTACATAATTATCATCACAAATCACAATTAACGCTGTTAATGATTAATTTTAAAGATAAAAGTCGATTAAATCGTTTTTTTTTTTCGAATAATTAATTTGTAAAATGATGTATTTGTATATTGTTTAGCTAATGCTTTTTATTAAGGCTTATATTTTTCTTCTTTGGTAATGAACTCCTATGGTTGTACTTTTGCCAGTGTTAAGTTATAGGAAATTATCCTTTTTATAATAGATTATTCAAAAACTGCCCCACCATGATATGGTGAAGCATCACAATGTTATTTTCGGGAGATTTCGGCGACAGATGATGATGATGAGCATCTCAAGTGCTTAAGGCTTCTAAGCAGACAAAAAACTTGAGGTTTACATCAACAATGGAGCACTGTTTTCCTTTCTGCTATTAGTTCATGGGCACAGACACTTAATACACAAGTTATTTCAAAAACACAATTGTATATTATACTGGGTGGCGATTAGGTTATCACATTAAATATTACAGCGGTAAATACAAGTTCATATATGTCTAAAAATTCATTTTCGAACAATATAAATAGAGTAAAAATGGACACGAAATAAATCACCTTGATAATATTAGTTCACTGACCTGAAGTGGCCTGCAAAAGAGGCAACGATGCGGCAGGTGCGCAGTGCTCATGCGGCATCGACATATGTATCACTTTTCCAATCATAGGTAATTAGGCAACAAAAATAAAAAAGGGGGTGGCGCGAGTTGTTTTACATATATTTTTTAGTTGTGTATGTTCAAAGAACACTTAGTAGGATAAGTCTTTTCATTTAATGTGATAACTTCATCGCCACTCCGTATATATTTACTATCAAGCATTAGTTGATTTTAGGATTGTTCTTTAAGAACAAATGCTAATGTAAATAACTGTAGCGGATTCGTTAGATTTATTAATAATTATATTCATAAGCGTAATATTGCGTTGCTTAGTGGGTTTTTTTTTAATTTATAAACCGAACATTCTATTTTTTATTTATATTATAAATGGATATTACCTTTGCCACTGATGATTCTCTATATATAAATTATATTATTTATTTGTATATAAAAAGTCAATCTGTAAATATTTTATTTATTAGATGTTGTCACATTAAGGTTTCACAGAATACCACCGTAACATAGCAGCATAACGCTGCTGTGTTTCGTATGGTGAGTGTAAAAAAACCGGAGACCCTTTGTACTGGCAACGAGGCATTCCATCTTAGTCCTCACGAGTGACAACGCATCTGCATTTTGATTCGTAATCGAGGATAGATGTAGATGTCTATGGGCTACAGCAGCCACTTACTTGTGTGTTCGTTTGTCACCCATATTCTATAAAAAAGCTCAATGTTTTCTAACATTTATGCATACACATAAAACTGTATAAAAGGTCAAGGTTAAGTGATATAGTTTTATTGTGCTTTCTGAAGTATGTATACTTGCAATTCTTGTTTCACACATTTATCGTTGTTACCAAACATTGACCTACAATTAAATGGACGGCGGGTCGAGAACAAATTTCACGAAAAATGTGTCCAGAGTCCAATCTATATAAGCGAAGAAATATAAAAAAACTATAACTTAACTTCGACTAGAGGCCGCACTGTTTTCACCTTATGCAGATTCTAGCGAAACTTATAGATATCGTTATTTGTTTTTACAATTAATGTGAATTTAATTTAAATACTATGTATCTAGCAAAATATTGCTCTTAAATTATTAAATATTAATAGTCCTTAACGAATATATACATACGTATATATACACATATATATACATATATATATGTGTGTGTGTGTGTGTGTGTGTGTGTGTGTGTGTGTGTGTGTGTGTGTATGTATGTATATTTTTTACTCGTTTTTACAATACAGTACGGACGTACACCTACTAACCGATTCGTTGCGGCACCGATTTTCGCCAACTTTTAGCTGTAGCGGCGAACAAATATTTCATGACACGCCTGGCGTGACAGTCACAGACATTGATGACACGTCTATTGTGCCATCAGCTATGTGTAAAAGTAATGTTCTTTTTTATGCTTTTATCAGTTATTTAGACCTAATTAAGTTTATTTGGAAAACCTTGGTCCTTATTAAATTAAATTTTCACCTGATAATAACATTTGTAAATATGAAACTGTATGTACAAGTTAAAAAAAGATTGTCAACCCCTAATCAAAATATCCAGAAACGAAGCCGCAGGCATGAACTACTTGCAAAATAATGAATATTTTGTTGTGGATAAATTTTCCAAAAAAGCAATTTGAGCGATTTAAAACGATTTTTAAAAAAGATACCACTCGCTACACAAAAGTAATCGATGGCCTGGCGTGGCCACCCCGCACTGAACGGGTTAAGTCGGTCGACAAAACGAAGACTGCATTTTGTAACACTTTTGGCTTGTATTTTTTGGGCGCGGACTCGAGGTCCATTTAGTAGTAGGTCAATGGTACCAAAACTATAAAATGATCAGAAAGATGTTTAAAACAATACGTAAATATATGTACACTATGGTATACTCACCATTTATCTCATGTTCTAATAAACGCATTTATTCAATTTTAATAGAATAAGCCTAATAATACCCAAATGTTCGAATGTTGGTTGTATAAATTATTTATTGTATTCTTTTTTTTATGATACATGTACTGTTGTGAGCATTATGGACCTAAAATATTTCTTTTATAATTGTGATCTTTTTAAATATTTTATATATTAAACCAACACAAATCATGTTGTTTTATGGTTGTATTTGTCATAATCTCATAATCTAGAGGAATGTAAAAAGGGAAAAATTTGTATAAAAACAGCTATAAGCTATACATGAGTAGCGTGTAGTAGGCATGGTTGGAATTAGTGAGCGAGTGATTAACATTATAGAATAAAACAAAACTTAAATTAGTAAAAAAACAAGTAAGAGACAAATATGTATATAATTTTAGTTTTTACTGTAGTTTTAACGAAAATGATCATTTTTGAACTATCTACAGAAAATTTAAATAGCAAAATTCATTTTTAATGTTTGACACACTCTGTATTTGGTGTTACCTCCCTTCTGCTGTAAAAACTTCCAGCATCCTTCTAGGATTTTTAGGTTTCATTATTCTACCAATGCTCTCTTAAGGTCTAGCTGCTATAAATGTTAGCTGGTACTGGATTTCTTTGTTTATCACAAACTTGCTGTATCGGGTTTAGGCACAGAATAAATAATAGTACAAGAACTTTAGGTCTGGGGAGCGGGCGTCGGACTCTACAAATTTTGATTTCATCCTCTAATATAATTAGAAACTATCGCTGCAGTGACGGTTGGGCAAAAAAATGTATGCAGTATAATGGACGCACGTGGCTCAGGACCGTGCTTTGGGCATTCCTTGGGGGAGACCTATGTCCAGCAGAGGACTTGTGAAGGATTGTGATGATGATGATGATGATGGAGTAAAAGGCATCATCACAATATTTTAAAATATCAGTGCCGTAGTCATGGAATCGTGATCCCTTAAAACTGCCTCCTCAAGTCATTACAAACCCTCCACCCTATTATTCCAGTGTTGGTGAGTGAGCTAAATTGGACAGAGCTACTTGATAACTCCTTAAGCCGCATTAAGTGTAATTACTCCGAAATAAGAGTACGTTAAAATTCATCTTATTTTAAATCACATGAGCTGATATAGATGATAGATGGATAGATGGATAGGCCAGGATGTAAGAACATATTTTATAAATAAAATGTTTAACCTTTTTTATGTTCCTCTAAATACTTTAATAAAATTATGTACAATTTTTGTTCAAAATGGTGTAGTTGAAATAAAATAAATAAAATGCACTTAAATGAGTTTTATTATCTTCACCCATTCGAAACGGAAGAAAATTTTGATAGTTCTGTCTGTTACCATTGGGTTAGTTTAAATCGTTATCTAATTATTCATTCAGGTTATATTTAATAAAATATTTATTTTAGAAATATCGCAACAACGTGGTCGTCACTGGTACGTCATTTCTTCTTTATTCTACTGGCAATCCATTCTAAACCTAGATGCAACCTGTAAAGAAAAATATATATAAATTATTAAAAAAAAACATGCGTGTGTGTCGTGGAACACTCGGTTGGAACGAAGTTCCTTTCGTAGTATATTATTATTGATAAACGTATTATATTATTGATTAACAAATACAAATAAATGAATAACTAGCCGTCTATTAAAAGGAAACGTCATTTAAAATAATATTTCTTTCATGGCAAGATAGAAAAAAGTGCGAGGGAGATGGATATTATTCCATCTCGCTTAGTTATAGCCGCCAATGCCGTCTAAATTACGTCAGAAGGGGTCGTGAGTCGTGACGGAAAAATCTTACACTTTTTGTCGCCTAGCCCCCGTCCGCCAAATCCGTACCGTCTGATAAAGAACTTCGTTCCAGTAAAGTAACTTTTATTGGTCATTGTTGCAATAGTCTTTATTTGTTTCACTGTTGTGCCTATCTTTATATATAAAAATTACGTGTCACATTGTTTGTCCGCGATGGACTCCTAAACTACTAAACTGATTGCAATGAAATTTTGCATACTGTGTGCAGTTTGGTCCAACTTAAGAGATAGGATAGTTTTTATCCCTATAAGTGACCCTCAATATTATTTATTACGAATTTAAGAATTTTTATAGGACACAGGGTCGTCGGAGAGGGCAGAACAACGTCTGCCTGGTCAGCTAGTATATTATAAAATCTTAAATTTTTACACCTTATGTCATACATGCTATTGCTATGGGATACTGTTATGGATTATATAGATACGGATCAAGGTAGAGACAGACTGGTCTCACGTATACAACGCATTATGACGTTAGACTTAGTTTTTTATGATAAGCTTTGAATTAGAAACACACTAATGGAAGAAACCGACTGATTCCACGTACGCAACGTATGCGAGCGTTACATCGCATACGTTGCGTACGTGGGATCAGTCTGTTTCTCCCATTAGTGCCCGCGCCGCCTATGTAATGGTGTGTTGGAATTCACAAGTAGTAATGCAGCATTTTAAAATTATGATAAAATAAGTTCTGCGATACATCCAATCCATCCATAAGCGTTTTCAATCCAAAGATATGCTTATTAAATATTTTCAAAAACTTACGCATGCATTTATAAATAGTATAACAAAAAAATCTGCCTAACCTAAGGGCAAAGTATTTATTAAAGTATATATAAATGCATGTTATACCTTGACACATTTCTGTAAAATAATAAATTTATGTTCAAAACTATACGATTAGCCCATTCACAAATGCTGCCTGTATTTTAAAACTTGTACCTAATGAATGTTTCCACCCGGTCATAATTTTGCAAAATAAGCGAGTGATTTCTTTTAGTTCTAAGAAGGAGCGACGAAAGAAGAGTAATGGGTTTACGAGGATATTTGGGATACGAAAATTAAATTATGTAGTAACAAAGGGCAATCTAAGTTATTTCTGAATATTTTATATAAAAGTTGCAAATCCAAAAAGTCACGGCGTTATCACAGTGTAATCATTTTAAGTGTACCTTTGATGCATTTTTATAAGCTTTTGTGTTAAATAGGCAAGATGCCATAATAATCTTTTTTGGGTGCGCTTAAGGTGAAGGTTATGTCTAACATAACGTGGGCGTAAAACTGTGCTACAATCCTACAATATTCTTATATACTTCTAACAATTCAGATTGACAGTGAAATAGATACATCTGCGGTTTTCTTTATAGCAATAGTTTTGAAGTATTTTATAAAATATTTTAATAATCCTTTCCATCCACCCATTACAGCCTATAAAAGTTCCCTACTAAACATAGGGGGGCTTTTCCCATAGTTGCCACGTTTGGCGGGTGGTTGCAACTGCATTATTTATAAATTTGAGTTGTTATTAAGAAGATGCTGCTGCTCACAAAATGACGTCATTCTAAATCCAATATGGTGGAATTCCAAAGATGGCGGATTATGTTTTTTTATTCACTCCCATCATATGGATATCATATGAAAGGGGTTCGCTGAGGAGAATACGAATAAAATGACGTGTGCATTCAGCTTTTTGAGGAAACGGTGTACTACTAGCCGACTAAACGGTAAAACTTAGCGGGGTCGCGTTTCAATTAATATCCGCCTACATCTTGGCAAATTCAAGCGGTAGTGACAAAAATTCAAAATGGCGGAAAACAAGATGGCTGTCATACCAATTTTATGGAGTTATAACTCGGCAAAGGTTAGGGATAGTTTGATGGTGCTCGAACAAATATTGTATTGACCGACAAGGGTCAACTGCTGGTGATAAAAAAAATTCAAGATGGTGAATCTAAAATGGCGACCAAAAACCAACAAGGACGCATTAAATTAAATTAACAGACTTAAAGTCATGTCCAGCAATAACTCAAAAATAAAAATAAATTATTAGTAAAAAATATTTTAGTAAACGATCTCGCGACAGACTTTTATATGATATAAATTGTGTGATGTAATAAATTGATGTTTGATTTAATTTAAAGTTTATTTTCTTCTTTTTAAAGCATATCAATAAAACCTTGTTTTTAACCCTTTCACCGCCGCGCTTTAGTTGACGTGGAGTGTTTCCAGCGCTAGGAACTTTTATTTAATATTTTGCATAGTGTTGGAACAACCATTTATCGATAAATGAAACAAAGTTTTAAAAATTATGAATTACTATTTATTTTAAACAACATAACATTCTTCTTATTGGGTATTAACTAGCTTTAATCAGTCTTAATTTTCATTAATCACATTGCACTTCATCAGCGTTAATTCTCTTCATAAAACTAATCAATATTTAGGAGATGGGCATGGACATTGATATACAGTAATCTATGCTTGATCTAATATATGTAACTGCTTTTGAGCGTTATATATCTTTCTTATGTCCATATACACTTGCGATTGAATCTCGTATGGGACTGACTCCATTTCAAATGCAATTAATGTACCAAAATGCTCATTTCGAGGATCTTCTGCTCTTTGATTAAAGAATCTTGAAGCGGGCAAACTTATATAAGTTGTGTAGTCATCTTTTTCCGATTTCACATAGCATATGTAATGGTTTTCGGTCTGCGTTGATCTACCATTTTTGGAATTTTTTATTTTTATTTTCTTTTCCGGTCGAATAGACGGGAGAATAGATGGCGATAACGGCGGCGATTCATCACTTTTTGACATGATGATTCTACTCCATAAAAATGTATAAATTAAGCAAATATAAATGTAGTGTAAGTTTCTTAAATATCTGACAAATTTTACATGAATATTTACTTACAGATTCAATATATTTAGATAAAACTGTGAATCATTCTGCGATTCTAAAATATTTAACTGTTCTTATTCGTCTAGCATTATCGATAATTTCCAGCACTAAAAATGCAAATAAGTATAGCACACGCATGTCATCACGGTGACGGCGCCACAGTAATTGCCAATTTATTGAAACGCCACTGTCCTTGACATTAGCCGCACGTGAAATCACGGTGCTGGCTATATGCTTCATGGTGCTGGCATTCTCAAGTCGAATGCACTAGTGACGTACCGGGATAATTCAATTTTACATTTGGGTTGTTTGATTTATAAATTAATATTTTTATTTCTTGTCGCAAAATCATTTAAATAATATATGAAATTAAATTATTAGGAATGTTTAGTTCAGTTCGTTAAAATATTACATTATGATGACTTGACTATCATTTTAATTTTGAAACAATACAAATATAAATTGTTTGATAAATCTTTTACAGTGGCGCAGCACTGGTCTCAGAAATATCACGGGGATGGCGAGGCAGCAAGGTGTTTAATTTCATCTTGCACTTAGTAATACTATATATTTCTGTTAATTTTTTGACATTGGTATCTACAACTGTCCACAATTAATTAAATGTATTAAATTTAATAGCAAAATCGAATTAACCTTGCAGTTTTTCTAGTAAAATGAGCATTTCGGAATATTACGTGACGTATTCACCTTAAGGTTCGTAATATTACGGCTATGGCGGTGAAAGGCTTAGAAATGTTTTTTACTACTTTTTTTTAATCAGTTTTATTTACGAGGTCTGTCTTTTAAACAAAAGAAACTATTAGTTGCTTATACAAACAACACTGATAAAAGAGGAGACAAAATTAGAAGACAATTATCGAGTATAGTTGCAATCATAACATGAATTTTATGAAGTAACATAACGGTCCACGTCCAGCATAAGCTGCAGTAACAACACTGATTTTCTGCGCAGCCCAGTTAAGATCCCAAGCAGATAGTGCGTAAACTTAAACGAACTGCCCGGTATATTATTTGAGCTAAATATTTCGCGCAAGCGTGGTATGAAATGACATGTATGATAAAATGACAGCCAATAAATACATAAACTAATCAGATATGTCTGAAATAATATCAATAATTACAAGCAAGCTGAATAAAAAATACATCATGTTAGTTGGTTGGCCTCCTTTTTCCTTTCTTCTTTCTGACTAGTAGTCTTAGAGGTACCACCCTTTTACCTAAGGTTCATAATTGCCAACAACTTCGAATCCCCGGGCGGGTCAAAATCAGTTATTGTGTTTTTCTGTCAAGAGATTCTCAGTAGCAGGCCGGAGTCAGGAAGTCGGCGGTGTTTTACCCTCGTGCCTCGGAAAACACGAAAAGCCGTAGGTCTCCGGTCGTGTCGAATTACCGTCCCATCGGACTATGAGAGTGAGGGAATAGAGAGTGCACCTGTGCTTGCACATACACTCGTGCACAATTATCTAAAAAATAATGTAAAAAAGAGAGATTGTCTAATGAAATTGCATTATATAGAAACAAATAAATAGAGCTGTAGTGGGTAATTGGAATGGAAGCCATTCAAAAGGAGTAGTTTGCGAGTCTTCCATAACAACCCATAAGGATATAGCTATATAAGATTAAGGCAACTAGTGTATGTGGGAGTAATGTCCGTTTTTATTATCAAAGGATACGCCATATTAATATAATTGTTATAATAATAGAGTATTAGCATATGTGGGTTGAAATGAAAGAAATTGATGTCAACTTATCTGATCAGTAAACTTGTTCAGTAGTTCGTGATCTTACGACAAGGTTATAAGCGATGAAAATGTAAGCAGTAGTATGTTAACTTTTCACTGAAGATGATTATCAAACACACACTTGAGAGAAACTAACATCATGATAAGCCGTCTTACGTACACATGGTAATTTATTTCAAGCTATATTTGTCTTTCCGATACTTATACTAAATGATAAAATCTTGCTTGGATACATATAATATAACACAACTAAGGTATTCAAGCAATCAGAGTGGTTTGGTCTTACTAAATTTAAATCTAAGACGGCATTTTTATAAAGCTTTATTACAATAAAATAATTTAAAGTGATGATTAGAACAAGTTCAATTAGTCTCGATAATAATGAATAAATGGATGATGAACAGATATTTTATATTAAAAATGTATATTTTTCTTTGTAATAATCTTAGAGTGATCACATACATAGGTATGCATAGAGAGAATATAGATGTTTACTTAAAGGCAGTCTACTTCTTCCTATCAAAGAATATATATTATTACTTTAAACCTCTAAAAACCCATACCATCCCGTGAATATCGTAGATGGCGACAGATAGAAATGGAACAGCAGATAGGCAGCAGTGTCTTCCTGATAACAACTTTACTTTTTCCATTTCTTTTCACAGCCATTACTGACTGAACGCTCATACAATCAATGATAATTTCTACATTTATGGCATTATGTTTATACGATTCACAAGTTCTATTGACATGGACAGATCTATACACACGGTAGTGTTAGCAATGCTCGAAAAGAAGGAGCGACGCGCTGACAGTGTAAACATATACATTATATTGACAGTGTAAATATACACGATCATTTGAAGATATTTTCGACACCCCTTAAAACAATGATTATGTGCGAAGCAGACAACCCCGAACGTCGTTTGTGTCGAACATTTATGTTTTTGGTGTGATTCACCAATCACTTCCTAAGTTACTTGAAGATTATGAAAAATTAGCTATAGATAACTATTAAGGTGAACATACACCTAAGTTCGCCGCAGCCATCGAATTTTGTGATGCTTTTTATGAAATGTATGTAAACCGCGCCGCACAAGCCACATTTTAGTAGAATGCTGTAGGTATTACGTATTACATCTGCGCGCCCGAATGACGGATCACCGGAATCAGCGAGTACGGTGCGGTGCGTGCGCTGCGGATCATGCGACGCGGATGTCATCAGTATTCTGCCCAACCAGATCTTGAATGAGCGATCGTACGACGGGTAAAAGTCGTATTCCCCAAAATAGCTTTTTCATAAAAATAATACCTTTCTTAAAAATATTATTATTATTATTATGTGATGACAGCTAGATAAGCTTATAGCTGATATACCTATATCTGTGTTGGTGTTTTATATTAGTCTAAGTCCACACTAAGGATACACTAAATTGTATTGTCTTTTTGTTCACACCATTTGTTCAGGTTTTTTTTAATACTAATCACAGAGGGAGCATCTACCACGTCTTGAGGCAACTTGTTCCATATATTCATGATATATTTATGTGTCAATATTTTGTAGGTATCAATAAGGTCTCCGCTGGTACGGCGAGATTTCAACGTTGTTAGATTCAATATTTTAAATCTCTCTTTGTATGGCTTTTTGCAAAGGCATAATGGAATCTTTGTGGCTTTTCTTTGTATACTCTCCAGCAAATCTCCATCCTTAAGAAAATAAGGGTTCCAAATTTGAAATCCGTACTCTATCAGCGGTTGACGTATGTTTTATAAGCCTTGAGCAATGTATCTGGAGTCAAATGCTAAAACAATTGCACTTAGAAGGATTAAGCTAAGGATTAACCCAATTTTTTGTCCACTCCAGTATACGCTCTAAGTCATCTCTTAAGGTTCCCTGGTTCAATAGAGGATTTCCGAAGTATTTCACGTCATCAGCAAAGAAACAGGCTTCTGAGTGTAGAACTCAGATCAGCAACATAAATGCCAAAGAGGATAGACGCCAGTACTGATCCTTGTGGCACTCCACCGAAGACGTCTTTAGGTTGCGAATATACATTTCCAACTCTTACTAGAAAGGTTCTTCCACTCAGATAATTTTTGATCCATTTCAGATGTTCCAATTTAACCAAAAACTGTCTGTGTGGTACCTTGTCAAAGGCCCATACAAAGTCCAGGTAGAATATATCCAAAGAATTATGTTTATCAAATTCCTTAATCCATCTGTGGTAGCAGGAAAGAAGGTTATTTATAGTTGAGCGCCGTTCCACAAAGCCATGCTGGTTATTCGGAATAATTCTCTCATCTGCTGGGATTTTTTTTAATTCTTTAAATATTAGCCTGCTTTTTAACATTTTTCATAATATCAACACATAAAAAGTTAAAGCACAAAATCAAGGCCTTATCGCCATAATTCTACTATTCATATTATTAAGTATTTTCCAAATTGGAGAAAAATCCACACAATATCGAAAGCTGTTAGATAAAATACAGTCAGTTTTGACTTTAGGCAGCTTGTTGTAGCATACGTTACCCACTTATACATCCTATTTATGTATTCTACAATAGGTATTTCAACATAGATAGTCATAATTTTGAAAATAGAAACTTATACACCTAATTTTTATCTGTATAAATATAATATTTTAAAAGTACTATAAAAATGGATGGATATAAAAGTAGTGGGAGGGCTCAGAAAATATGGATTGACTGTATCAGGGATGATATGCGTAAGCAAGGAATGAATGAGGAGATGACGGCTAACAGAGGAAAGAAGAGGAAGATACTCGTATACTATAACAACCTACTATAGTCAAAAAAATTAAAAAAAATGGTAATTATTATTCTATGGATAATTTATATGATGCAGAGTAGAATGTGTCCAGATATGGCAAGATTTCTTTAAAAATTTATAAATCACTAAACGAAAAAAATAAATTGCTAAAGGGTGTCAAAATTACCAGATCGATAAAATGTTACTAACGACACTTGATGCGATTCTGACACTACGGCGCGTACAATGCACGAGAACTAGACCATCTGCAAACATGATGACTACGACTCTTGGCTCTGCCAGCTTGTATAGGTGTTTGTATTCTTTATGCTTTGGGCTTCAGTTATATTCATATTAAACAACTTAACTTTATAATTTTTTTTGTCATATGTATTTCAGCTTATGAATCTTACCCTTCTCCAGTGAGTGCACAGCAAGCTTGTATGTGCCAAGGATGCTGTTTGATGGACGTCAAATCTAACTGTTCAGATATCTCTGCCGCTGTCATTGATCCTTTTACATCCTGAAATAAACATCGGAAAGTACTTTAATCCTTGATTCAAATTCAAATAAATATAAATTGGGGTTTTTTTTACAAGGTATGATATTTTATTCAAACACTAGTCAAATACTTGAATTATTAAGGAAATAGTTTCACTTCACATTAACCTACATTTTAGCACGTAAATCAACTTACAATATGGAGTATGAAATTGTTTATATAGTTGTCATTTAAAAAATTAAATAAGAATTAGATAGCTTTTGAAATATATGTGAGGAGACTGAACCCGAACGCAGACAATAGGACAAACATATCCAACACATGATAGTACGATGCATTGTATAGTTTATAGTAATTTAAATTTAAAATTCATTGAATATTGGTGGAGGAAAAAAAATAGGCTGCAAACCAAGTCCATTCAGGGTTCATTCCGTTCAGCGCACACATGCACGCAAGCACGCACATACACAGAAATTTAATTATAGCAAATTATGTGTCACTCAGACCACACCATTTACTCATGCTTCAAAAAATGCACATTAAACATAAATTTTATTATTAATTCAAGTCAAACGCAATGAGATAATAATTCAAGTAAAATACCTGTTTATTTGCAAAAACAAGTAAGCAGGCTTTACTGAGCTCCTCGTGGGTCAGCATACAATGTAATTCTTCTCGGCTTATGCTCAATCTTTGTCGATCAGTAGAATCGATAACCATTATGACAAACTATAATTAAAACAAATGCATTCATTATGTATATCAAGGGTCAAAAATATTATGCTGGAATAGTTAATGATAAAATTATTAAAGTACAATTAATTTAGTATCAATACACATGTCCATTTTATTAAATATTGTAATAAGATAAAAAAATACCAACAGATATTACAGAATAAAACGTAAACTCGCAAAACATTCATTATATATGAAACTATACCATAAATTTCTGGCTATGTAATAATTTTGACAAGTCTTTTAGTTTACTAGTAGTAGTAGTGTAGTAGTAGTAGTACTTAGTAGTTTTTTTACGTGGTAGAGCCATGCTGCAGCTGTATTACTGGTATAGTTGTAACACAAATGGGTTGGCTCAGGGGCCAGGGAAGGACCACACTCTCACACAATACCAGTGTAAAATAGCAGCTTAATGCTGCTGTGTTTTGTATGGTGAATGTAGAGAACTGGTGACCCATTTTACTAGAAAAGAGGCATTCTATCTTAGTCCTCACGGCTGACAACGCATCTGAATTTTAATTTGCAAACAAAGATAGATATAGATGGTTATGGGCCACAGCAATCACTTACCATCACGTGGACTGTGTGCTCGTTTGTCACCCTTATTCCATAAAAAAAGTATCATTATCAATGTGTAAATTATAATTTAAAATAATCAACTATACTAATCTTCATTCTTACATAAATGCTAATGTACCGCAAAGCAGATAAGTAGTAAACATGTTTTATTATATGAAAGGAAATACTTAGATAACTTTCTTAAACAGTTCAAAGCAGGTTCACATTCAATTATGGTAAATGAATTTTAATGCTACTTACAGACATGCTTTATAGAATGACATCATTTATGTTATATAAACACAGTGTTATGTCATTAGTTATATTTCTTGAAACAGTTTAAAGCAAGTCCACAATATATGGTAAATGTCCTGATACTACTTGCAGCATGTTTGCATTGCATGTGTTGTCATTAAAATATTGATAGTTTTTAAAAGGTTTTATGTAAATGTCAGTCAATAAACAAAGAAATAACAGGAACATCTTATATTGGTTCTTCATAGACTGTCCAGCAATGAACTCTCTAACACTTTATATATGTGGTTCATGTGCAATGCATGCTTCAGCCAAAATTTCACTTGTTAAGCACAACGGTAAATTCACATACCAGAATTATATGAGTCTGTCCTAGTCTCCGAACTTGCTCAAAGTGTAAACCAGGTTATTAGGATAAATTTTTGTACTAAATCGTAATAAATAGTTCTACTAAATTGTACATATGTTCAGAGTTGGATAGTTGGTTAATCATAAAGAACCAACATAAAATCTCAGTGCGCACAGCTTTGCATTTATACTGACAATCAAAATGGTTAAAATAATAGAAATTTAATAAAGTCCTATTTATATATAATTTTTAGTTTTTTTAGCCTCAGATATTTTCTTTATAAGAAATATTTTTATTGTTGCAACAGCTCAGCAAAAATTATCATATTCAACATTTTAATATTATTGTGTCAAATATAATTAAAAGGCTTATTACATTACACGATTTCTCGGGCCCTGTCCATCGTGTGCTCTGCCTACCAGACAGGGCGCTGCTTATTACACTACGCTAGAAATCGCTTCCTGCCTCAGTTGTTACTCGAAAGTGGAAATGATTGCATGTCTAGCATTATGGCGCAGACTATCTAAATGTCAAAAATTTCTTTATTGGTATCTTTACGTGGTTGAGCTATGCTACAGCTATATTAGTAGTATAGTTGTAGCACGAATGGGTCGGCTCGACCGGGGAAGTACCACGCTCTCACAGAATACCAGCGTAAAATAGCAGCTTAACACTGCTGTGTTTCGTATGGTGAGTGTAGAGAACTAGAGACCCTTTTTACTGGAAAAGAGGCATTCCATCTTAGTCCTCACGGGTGACAACACATCTGCATTTCGATTCGCAAACGAGGATAGATGTAGATGTCTATGGGCCGCAGCAACCACTTACCATCAGGTGAACTGTGTGCTCGTTTGTCACCCTATCCTATAAAAAAATTAGATATAATAAAAAAAATAAGTTCAAATTTTGAAAATGGAACGCTTTGCCAATATTATTGTGTATGTATTTTATTAATTTGCCATTTGTTTACGATTTGGCGGCAAATTGAAAATTGTCTGTGTCACGTCAGCACGAATTTAACGCGAGAAAATTTTCGTACAGTGATTTTTTATGACTTTCGATGTCATTTAAGTCAACCAGAAAGTTATGATAGACTTCAATTGGCCTTTTACGATGAAGCCCCACTAGATGGCCACTGTTTACAACTGGTTTAATGAGTTTAAACGTGGTCGCACTAATCTCACCGATGATCTGCGTGAGGGACGTGCTTCTACAGCGACGACTGAAGATTACATGTTGTTGTGCGGCGTATGATAGAGACTGACAAAACATTGACTTATCGGGTGACAACGCATCTGCATTTTGATTCGCATACGAGGATAAATGTAGGTGTCAATGGGCCACAGCAACCACTTACCATCGGGTGGACTGTGTGCTCGTTTGTCACCCTATCCTATAAAAAAAAACTTTGGCTGGCGGTAACCTGCAAGGCCAAGCTAAAAAAAGGAAGGAAAGTTAAATGTGGATGAAAAAATATTTGCTCCTCAGAGAAAAACTATCAAATATGCAAATAGTCAGCGTTTTGGACCCAACAGACCTACGTAACTATTTTAAAGAGTAGGTGAAAACCAATTCGACGAGTTATTAAGCTTAGTAACGCCTTTAATAGAAAAAAAAAATACTTTAATGATTTCTTATATTTACGCGAACACTACACATTGAATAAGACTACTTGTATGGATTCTATCGCGTTTAATTTTTTTTTAATTAATTCCCAATGTTTCGGATGCTTTACAGCAACCAGTCCCCTGTGACCATGGGTAGTAAAACACCCGAAACGGGAATTAATAAAAAAAAATTAAACACGATAGAATCCGTAAAAGAAGTTTTATTCAAAAGAATACTTTTTTAAGAGAGATTGGTTGTCACTTTACGATTTTGGCCACTGGAAACTCCTATCAAGATTTGATGAGGCATTTCTTTGTAGATGTCGATGACATTGAGAAGGATCTTTTTCTTTAGCGCATGACATAAATACGAGTAACGATTTAGAGAGTAGATCGACATAGTAAAACTTTAAATAAACAAACGTGTAGACTCTGCGCATGCGGCCACGCAACTGAGCTCCCTGCCTCCCTGTCTCTTATTACACTACACGATCCACAGCGCGGCAGGGAAGCAGGGCGGTCGGAACCAATCAGTCGCCCTGTTTAGGGACCCTGACTCCCTGTTTCTTATTACACTACCCTGTCCCTGCAGGCAGGGCCCGAGAAATCGTGTAATGTAATAAGCCTTTAAAAAACATTGTGACAGCTGAGATAATAACAATTTATTTAATATTTTGTCAACATAAGCTGAAATTAAACCAATGCAGAAATTTAAAAACAATAATTTTAAATACAGAAATATACAATTAAAAAAAACTTAAACACACAAAAAAGGTACTAACTAACACTATTAAATAATAAAAACAATTAAGTAAAATAAAATGCTCAATATTGGAGAAGTAATAGTGTTCATACTTCACTATTAGTGTAGTAGGTGTTCCAAGCTGAACGCAGACTTTGCTGTCCTCCCAGGTCCCACATCACAAAACGCAAATTCCTCCAAACTACTTCTTCTACATTGGAACCAATTGTTGGTCGAGTGTGAACAGCCTCACCAAGTAACAGCTGATATAAGATTGTAGTCTTACCAGCATTATCCAAACCCACCAATACTAATTTATGCTCTGTAAATTTGAATGACCTTTTACATAACTTAATGCCAAACAAACTTAGATGATTTGAGAAAAAATAATTAAATTTTTAAGTTGCAAAACATGCTTCCACAATTTTCACTCTGATTTATGAGATTTTTGCTGATGTAACCTCAAATATTAATTTTTTCTTGAAAACTATTGCTTTCCCTAACAGTCTCCTCAGTGGGGTTGCCCTTTCTAACAAGCTTCATTGTTGGTAGTCATCTGTACTGTAACATGTGAGAAATACAGGTTTCCACTTGTACTTTCACTTTCTTTTAGTTTTGACATTGAAGATAAATAAGATAAATTTGTGTTTTAGGGCACAGGTGAGAAGATATGGGTGATTAAATTCAGAAAAATATTTGAGTACCTGACCTAAAACCTAAATACTAAATTTGAGTCAGTGACTAGAGTTCTGACCCAATTCTTTTTATAATGAGTACTAAATTACAATATGTAAAATGGCCAACTTGGTTAACAACTAGTCTGTGCCTAGTGACCTGAGAATGGGATTCAATAACATGCTGGCATATCTTTTGAAATTAATTGAAACATATAGTGAATTTATTTAATAATGTATTTTAGAAAAATTTCCACAGCAAGAAAGTGGTTTATATGACCTAATTAAAATATTAAATATTATGAGCTATCTTATTACGATGCAACAAAGCTGTTACTACTTAAAAAAAGGATCACTTACCCTCGTTACCAAACAAACTCCATATTTTAGAGATTAATAAGCCCATTTTTTAAAAACACTAACTGTAAACGAAACAAAGACGAAACGGACACTGTGTTTTATTTCTTAATACCTATCTACTATACCTATCAATATCGTAACAAAGTTCATGGTTACAACATAAGATAAATAAAAAAATTACACTTATCAGCTTATCACTAATAGATTGTCATTTTCACAAAGAGAATGATGTTAAAAATCACAGTAAAGGCGTTTAGTCAATGAGTAAAATGAAAAAATATGTTACGCTTTTGCCTTTCTTTTCTTGCTAATCTTCTTGGCATATATTTAGACTTAGCGATTTCATACTCTTTGCTATTCACTTCAGCAACAATACATGTCAAATATAATAGAAAAAACAAGGATGGTAAATATTTCTAGGAAAAACACAACACATTCATTGATAATCCTATCCTATTTTTTAACTTAGAATTCACAATTCATAGTCTATAATCTAGGTTCTTACTAATTTAAAGGCACAGATTAATGTATTAAAGGTAAGGTACTCTGTGATTTTTATTAACTGCCTTTATGGATTGGCCTAAAGGTCTAGATACCAGGCCATAGACTCCAAAAAAAATTCCTTTACGGTTCTGGATTCTTGCCCTTCTGAGCCTGAAGTTACAATGTATATAACTATCTTTAAAAATTAGAAATGTCACCAACGATACATTCATCAAAAATTCACTTTCACACTGATTCACAAAGAGTTTGTTTACGTTTGCTCTATTGATTAATATCAATTTGTTTTAATTTTTATGTATCTTGAACACAAGAAATAAAGGAATATAACGGTCGGAAGAATTTTTAATCAGCTAACAGACTTTGAAGAGTATCATGAAATTTATCATTCTTAATATCTTGAATAGAATGAATGGTGTGTTTCGTATGGTAAATGTAAAGAACCGGAGACCCTTTTTACTGGAAACGAGGCATTCTATCTTAGCCCTCACGGGTGACAACGCATCTGCATTTTGATTCGTAATCGAGGATAAGTGTAGATGTCTATGGGCTGTGGCGGTAGGAAGGAAAAGGGGAGATCTCCCGCCGGGCAAGGTGTTCTGCCCAGGGAGCGGCCAATGCTCCGAGTTGTGGTTTGGAGCTATTCTGTATATACTGCTTTTAACTTCGGAACTTTGTTAGCGCGATTTATGCGTAGTTGTGTTTCGCTTGTGGTGCGACGACAGCGCCGCACATCATGCATTTACACATACATTCCCCACCAGAATTAAGGACGCACCGGCAATCGGACTGCTCAAAGAAAAGATGGTACTGTAGAACTATATTGTATTCAAGTATTTACAGTGCGGCACTATTAACTATACAACTATATATACAGAGAGGGGTCTTCACTCTTCTATGGAGTCTTGATTCTTCTTGATTTCTCTTGCTGGTTTCTTCTCTTGAGGTTTCTTCTAGTGCCGCTCCCGAAATGAACGCTTCACAGACCAAAACGCCCTTCTTATATCCCGCAAGAGAGTCGTCGTAAGCCGATGCCGCGCGCTGATTGGTCGGCGACATCGCGTGATCTGCTGCCGGTGTGCGGGGTGCGCGGGGCGCATCAGGGTATGAAGGGGCGACGGGGCGGCGGCCTCCTTCGCCGTCCGTAACAGTTAGCTTCTGATAAAGCATTATTCCTAAAAAAAATTTCCGTAACTTTCATAATATTGTTATTTGTTATAATTTGTTCAATAAGAGTGAAATATAGTAACTACAGTCGGAGAACCCAAAAAAACCACATTTATTTTAGTTAATTTAATAAAAATTAATTTTACAATTAAACCTAAGTCTAAGTCTGATCGTTGCTAGATACAGAATGTTCGATTTGATTCTATACAATAAAAATGTTGAAATCCGGTAAACGAACATTGACGTCAATCGGGGTGCAGAGTTAGCAGCGGTGATCGCGTTGCGTTTGGGTTGTGACACATGTGAGCAGCGTCAGCAGGTGCTGTATCGAGGTCATCGCTTATTGCAAATTATTAGGAAGTGCTTGATATAACACCTAATCCCTCAGATCATCACTTATTTTTAAGGATTTATCTGAGAAAATAGTGATGGATGCTGCTTAGCCTTTCCAGATGTTTCAGGTACTGCATAGATCTTATCTTTGGGAGGTAATCTTTCAGAACTGCATTGAAGCATTCCGTGTCGTCTTATGAGTAGCAGTATGGTGAGTGCAAGTGCCCTTAATAGAATAATGAAAAGTAGGATTGTCGTGTGATATATTGTGTAGTCCGGCGATTCTTGCTTTAGTTTCAAAGTAGACTGCAATTTTACCCTGTGCTTAGCGTCATGCAGTCTTCTTAAGTCTATGTAGTTAAGATGAATCTGTGATTTTTCTTCGAGTGGTTCTTAAGTTTCACCTGTCAGTTTCATTATTTTTAGTGGCTGTATTGGTGATATTAATGTCGGGTGTTTGCATGGAGCAGCTCACAGGAACAGTTGCTAAGTAGGTGCCGTTGAGAATGTTGTAATTTTCTTTGCCACATATGTAGTGTATCCTTGTGGCGTTGGGGAAAGACACGATGTAATGTTTCTCGTCAAGTTTTTCCATAGCTGATTTTGATAGGACTATTGTAGCAATGTAGCAGGTCTTATCGATGGCTTCATTTAATAAAAGATTCTTGATACAGTTTGGAACTTGTCATAGCTGATGGTCCATTGTCTCTTCTCGGAGGTACCAGTCTTTATACTTCGGGCATTCAGCCTCTATATACATATTGCATTTTCTGTTGGTTGCTATTAAGGGATAAGGAGGGACGAGGGCCTGCTTAAACTTATTGGGGGCCATGGTAATTTATAGAGATCGTAATTATCCTGAGTAAATAGAGGTATATTAAAAATTATAACTATCCTGTTATCCGATAACAGGATACTTATAATAGTACCCTGGTTTAATTATGTCACAGTATTCCTAGGTTCTAATTGCAACACATGCTCCTTACCATAGATGGTAAGTAAGCGTTGGATCATGTGGTTTAAAATATCTATACTAATCATGGAATGATGTAAAATTGAAGCGTGAATAAAAGCTATTATATTTTCAATTCTAGTTAGCTCGCTTAATATTATGTCGATATTTTCAGTTATTATAGCAAGGATCTGAGCAAATTTAGCATATTTTATTAGGCTAGAATCTCTATAACTATTGCTATCTAAAATTAACTGTAACGTTTCATTTATCTTTAACTGATTTGCGACTAACTTTTCAAACACATAAGAATACTGGACCATCCACTCTTTACTAAGACTTACGTGATTGTTAAATTCATGAGAAATTAGGTTACTATTTTGCTCAAGGATTTTAATTGCATAGTCATACTTTACGGCATCTGAATTATCTAGGTTACTAGTAACACTCTTAATTACTGAACCCAGTCCGTCTATGAGACCTCTCTTTATACGATGGGATTTTAAAGTTTCTAATTGGATTAAGACATTATTAAGTTTGATGGACAGATATTCTATTTGGACATCATAAAGCATGTATGTATCATTTCTTAGAGTTTGTCTAAAATATATTACTAGATTCTGCAACTGTGAGATTTTATTGTTAATATCATCTAATTCTATGAATTCTATAAAGGTATGATAGTGTGTAGTGAGCCTTGTATCGCCAAGCCAAAAAAGTAGGAGTCCGGGTTCATCGTCGAGGCTCTCAATCTTTATCTCCTGATTCATCCCTTGAGACTCTATAATCGTATTTCGGGCTTATTTGTTGTTTACTCTATCTACCTATTTCTTAAGAACCAAGAATCGCGTTTCCCGATGAATGACCTTGCAAGTTGCATGTGTTGAGCATCAGAACTCACATAGTAGCGGAAATATGGCCGAACATGGTCAGAATAGGTACTTAAACTAAGTAACTTAACATTTCGCAAATTATTTTTTTACTCTTTATTAACAGCCCTTAGTAACAACGGAAAGTCCGGTGTAGGTAACGTAGGAAGGATAAAAGATACGAGTATAAAGTAGGGACACTCGCGTGCAGCGATAAAGTTTTATTTAGCTTGCGTGCGCAATTTATCTCATTAATAATATTTATGTACGATATTAAAACGTCGGCAAGCAGTCAACATCAAATGAGTGTAACATCTGTACGTAGTACTATTATTTATTCTGAGGTTATGATACGACCTTACCTATGGCGTAGTGTATATTTTCTTTGCCTACAGACTTGATGGAGCAACTTGAAGGTATACTTTGGTGACTGCTACTGGAACTCTTTGACGAATAGAACTACAATCTATAATTTCCTTCAAATAGTTTTTCAAAATCATATGAGCATTATGAGTTGTGCACTTTTGGATTTTCCAAACCTTTTTTATTGACATAATTATCGGAAAATTGGAAAATTTTTAATAAGGTTATTAGTGAAAACTTGTGTGTATTTCAACTCCTTTGAAAAAGTTACATGTAACATGAGTGCTTAAGGCATGCACAGTTGGATTTACAAAAGCATTTTTTTTTAATTTTATTTTAAGCACCGAATTTTCCATTTTTCATTCCGTAGAATTCTTTTTTTTTTTTGGAGTTTATGGCCTGGTATCTAGACCTTTAGGCCAAGTCTTAAGTATTTTTATTCGGTTTATTGTAATTTCCCCACTCCTTCATAGTATACTGCTTCACAATATGTTGATGCGTCACATTGTGCAGTTCTTGGGAGATTTTGGCGGCAACTTGATCCAGCAGACAGCTGATAGTTGGCGATGGTATCTAAAGGTGCCTATGCATACAAACAGCTTATCTTGAGAATCCATCACCATCAGAGCACTTGTTTCACTGTTTCCACTAATAGTTCACATGCGTAGACACTTAATACACAAAATCGCAACACTTTTACATATCAAAGTCCACTTCAAACCATTATTTAAACAATAATACAGGAGCAGCAAACCGCCGCCGGTCAATTTCCCGCCAAAACTCCCGTAGAATTCTAACATTTCATAAGTGTTGCTACTAAAACAAAATTTCCACCGAAAAAGGGACAAATTTGACCCATTT